GAGGGTGTCGCCATCTGAGAAGCAGCGCAGGGTGTGGGTGCCAGGCGCTGTAAAAGTCCAGGAGCCCCCAACTCTCGTAGACTTGACCCTAGCTCCAACCCTGACCCCAACCCCTGCTTCAGCTCTGCCCCCGTCACCATCCACACTGCGAGCCTGGAGCAAGAAACCCATGAAATCCCTAGAGGTTCGGACAGTTACTGAGGACACAGGTATAGATACAGAGAAACACAAGAGTCATGAAATGAGTCTCTAGCATCGTTATAATGAAAAGGTTAAGTGGGGAACCTTGTTGGCCTTGGGGTTAGGGTGTCCTCCATGAATGTTGTGTGTCATTTCCCATTTCTCAACTCTAATAAATTCATAAAAGGCAAAAGCCCTTAGCACATAAGTTAAGGCAGGTAATTTAGTACAATTTTTAGGTATTTGTACTTCAGTATTTTCATTTTCTATTACTTCATACTTTGGCTTCACTACATTTTAAAAGCAAATATTGTACTTCTTACTCCACTACATTTATTTGATAACTTTAGTTACTAGTTACTTTTTAGAACCAGATTAATACCAAAAAATACAGTATAATTATAACATATCACTGATCTGTGGTGAAAAATTTACAAGCTTCCCACCAGTAATTCAAATTCAATGCATATAAGCAGTTAAAACCAGCCCCCCTTCACCAGCTGCAGTATTAAATGTGATGTACACAGTCATGCACCAGTAATACATTAATATGATATACATCCTGCATAATGAGTACGTTTAGTACTTGGAGTATGTTTTGATGCTAATACTTTGGTACTTTTACATAAGTAACATTTTGAATGCCAGCTAAGCTAGCTAGTCAGTTAGTCACCTGATCTGTCAGCCATATAATAATTCAGTAGTACCTGTGAGTAACTGTCCAGGCAGGTAAGAAGAGGCGGATGTGCGCAGGGTGATGTGGCTGTGCTGAAGGTACTGAGGCTGAGCGCTGATGTGGCCAGGAATCATTTCCTGACAGGAGGCATGGTTGGCGCCGCGGGAAAACGGCAGGATGGAGGGAACCAGCGAGAATAAGACCACACCCACCCCAAAACAGTGGAGGGTAGAACGCATGTCTACACACACACAGACACACACTTTAAGTTGTAATCCACTCAAAGCAGTGAGAGATGGTGGGGACGACTCCCCAGACTTTATGAATCAGAATATGTACATTCCAAAACACACAAAGCTTGAGGACATCACAAAAGAATAATTTATACAGCTGGTATGAAGCTTTGTGTCATAGCTCAACAGCACTACACCCAAACATTCACATTTATGTCATTTTTAACTTGGATTAAAATGTCTTGAACAAACTGTGAAAGGCCTGGAGTTTTCAAGGGAAAGGGAGTTAAAGGACAAACCCACTGGTGTACAGTGGGTACGGAAAGTATTCAGACCCCCTTAAATTTTTCACTCTTTTCTTTGTTATATTGCAGCCATATGCTAAAATCATTTAATGCAAAAATGTCAAATTCTGTGTTTTTCTGTCAATATGGGGTGCTGTGTGTACATTAATGAGGGAAAAAATGAACTTAAATGATTTTAGCATATGGCTGCAATATAACAAAGAGTGAAACATTTAAGGGGGTCTGAATACTTTCTGTACCCACTGTATTATATATACTCTCACTCAACTAATGAATGAATGGTGCAGCATTTGCAGGAGAGTCAGAGGGTTGGGTGGATTTTATGCATAAGCATCCTCACCTTGTGCAGTGGTAACCTCCAGGATGCCTAGAAAATCTGAGCAGCCCGATGCTATTTCTTCTTCTTTTCCTCTTTCTTCTTCTTCTTCAGTTTGTAAAGAATCACTTTTTGCGGTCCTGTAGTTGTGTTGTCGAGTGTAGAAAAGTCTCTGAACTGTTTGAATCCCAACAGAGACTGTGAGGTTTTTTCTTTCGAGTGCAGGAGGATGAGCTTGAGATCTGGAGGGGTCCCAGGCTCCAGGATATGGGGGTGGGAGATAGAACCAGATCATGTAGAGCTGCAGATTGTATCCCCAAGTACATTATCAGCGGTTTTTAGAACAACATTTAATATTAAAAGAGAAAATTAATTGCATGTTGTTATACAGTATGTACACAATATCTGTATTTGTATGAGCTTTGGAAGACACAATATGGCATCGATCAATCTTTTTTTGATATATAATTCTACTTCTATTACACTGTATAATGTAACACTGCAGTATTTGTGCATGTCAGAGGACGTGTTGTGAATAGAGCTGTACCAATATTCAGTTCATCAGTTTGGGGAATGACAGACGGTTACTCTTCAGGTGTTTTTCATATTTGATCAATTGTTCTGATCATTTCTCAGCCAGCTACTTATTTGTCACTGTAAATGGAATATTTTCACTTTGGAGTGTGGTTGAACAAAACATATATTTAAAAACAAATCAGGAATTAAGTGTTTGTTTACTATTTTCTGACATGTCTCGAGTGAAATGATAAATTGATTGATTTAGAAAATAATCAGCAGGTCAATTGATATTGGAAGTGATCATTAGTAACCGGCCTGGTTGTGAAATCCTTTTGATTAAACCATACAGTACCGAACATCGTTAACTTAAAAACACATTCAAGTGATTATCCAGAGAAGATGCTGAATATGGGTATAGACACCTTTAGGTTTTTACCCTAAAAATACTCTTTACCTTTGAATTTAACACCAAATTTAACTGTAGGAGGGGCAACACTCTTTTCTAGTGGGGGTGTTTCTATGTTGTGAGGAGCCCCCCCCCCCTCACTTGTCACGCTACCAGGATGTACACCAGCTGGAGCTGCCTCCCTCCAGGATCTCCCAAACATTTCCATTTGTCTCAGAGTTTTTCCTCCTACCTCATTTTATCAGCTCAGTGTGAAACTCCACAAAAGCGTCGGCATCAAAATTTACTTGAAGGTCCAAAGTTAAAAGTCATGCAGTGACTGCTCCTGATAGAACCTGCCCCCCTTCACCAGCTGCAACATTAAATGTGATGTACACAGTGAAGAATCAGTAATACAGCAACATGATACGCAACAATGTGAAATGTGCCATTCTGCATAATGAGTACTTTTAATATGTTTTGGTGCTAATACGTTTGTACTTTTACCTAAGTTACATTTTGAATGCAGGACTTGTAGGAGTACTTGAGTATTTCCATTTTCTACTACTTTCATACTTGGCCTTCATAACTGAAGGTTTGTTTCCATCAGTAAAGCCGATCAAACACTACAATTAACTAATCATTTAGTAAAAGTTATCATTTGAAAAACTGTGTATTGCAAGCCTCATAAAATTGTTTATTGTACAATTTTTATAAAGTACAATACTATGAAGTACTTGGTGTTACTGCTGCATATCTCCTTCTAGTATCGATGGCTGCTGAACTCTCCCTTGTCAGCAAACATAACATTTCCTGATTAAATTTGAGCTGAATGTTGTACATTCATTTGGTGTGATGGGGTGTGACCTATCAGTGCAGGTGACTGCAGGTACTAATACCAGACAATGAATCATGACTTCAGTGCCTGTCTGGTGAGTCACTGGTGAACAAACTGATGACAGTTTTGGCAATGTATCATAAATGTGTCAATAATAAACTCAGGAATGAGTCACTACCAGATATTCAGGTGCCTTGTGCACAGGTAAAAAAAAAAAAAATCACACCTATATCCTCAAGTACTGCGGATATAGGTGTGATTTTTTTTTTTTACCTGCCTGTCTGCATAATTTTTCCATAGAGTAAAACCAAGGATGGATTAATGTATTTCCTAAAGTCAACAGCTCTATCAAGCCAGTTTTTCCACACTGCACACGACGTTGTCTGAGACTAAGCTGCTGTACATTTCAGGGTTCACTTTGGCTGCAGACAGGTAAGCATTTCCTTCAACCATATAGTTAATTGGATCAGCTTGGCTTGATGTTTTTAGCTTTTCAGGACGTAGACTGCATATGAAGCCAGTTATGATGCAGAAATCAAACTAAATCTCCGGTGTGTGTGTGTGTGTAGATACAGTAAGTTGTGATTACAGTGGATCATTTATTTGTCATGTACATTACAGACTAGATATAAGGCAGATAATTTATTATAGAGATAAAATAAACTTTAGAGGGTTTGTTTAGAAGTTATTTATGACTGTTGTCGGCTCTTGACGGGAACATATTCCAGGTTCCTCATATTTACAGTATAATTCCTCATTGAAACGTTTCCCCCTGCGCACTTTGTTCACTTTGTTAGCGTCCTATTTTTTCAGCTGGAGGCTGATTCAAGACAAAGCTACGTCCAGAAAGTTAATAAAAATGCCTTATTACTTTTTGTTATCATGATAATTATTAAACCAAGATTCACTTTTATGCAGAGAGAATGTTTTCAGAAGGTTCTCAGAATGTTGCAGCCACAATGTTTTAACATTGTTTAATAAAAAAACATTGCGTGATTGTTATGCAAGAAACATTACATTGACAACATTCTGAGAAGGTTCTCAGTTGCAGTCAGAAAATTTTAGGTTCGTTAAATATGCAACGTTGCTTCAATGTTTGCAAACAAACATCGCATTCACAACATTCTAAGAACATTTATTGAATATTTCATTTAGAACGTTATAAATCGGTGGAAAAATAATATTGCAGCAACATTTTTATCAGTGAAAACATCTTTAGAACATTAATTGAATGTTTTCTACTAATGTTCCACGTGTAACCTTTGTAGAACTCGTAGAGAATGATACTAAAAGTTGTGGGAACGTTCCTTCCTAGCTGGGTAGTCCCAGTCAGGCGGATGCCTGTTGCAGAAACAGTCGGTAAACGGCTGTGCGTTGCATCTGGTGCCCATGTTTCCAACAGACACCACGACGCAAGACACAGTGAGGGTCACGGAGTAACATCCTTTAGTTGACTGGCTGTGTGTGAGCAGCACTTCATGGTCTGACGGTGTCCAGGGTCAGTGAAGACCGCCGATATTGCATGCTTTGCTAATATTGAGTGTCAGGGTTTTCTTTTTTATCGATAAAGTTTTGTGATTCTAGTGGATCACTACAGTATGTTCTTTGACTCTGGCTTCGATTTGCATTTGGTTTGCATCTATTCCGTTATCATTGATGGAATGTGTGTCCAAACGTGAACTAACTGGTTACCTAAACCGGTATTCCCAGCCTACGTGCAGGGGGACGACATGTATACACCATTATGGGCTTTTTGTGCTAAGCTGCTGTTGTACACCTGCCTCGCAGGGTTACCTGGCTCACTGCAGACAGGTAAGCATTTCTCAACCTTACAGTTAATGGCATCAGCTTGACTTGATGTTTTTAGCTTTTCGGGACTTAGGCTGCATATGAAGCCAATTATGATACAGAAATAGAATAAAATCTCCGGTGTGTGTAGATACAGTAAGTTGTGATTACAGTGGATCATCAGCATTTTGCTGATGCAGGATTTTGGAGGACACCAGATGGTTTCATCCATTTGTCATGTACATTAGACAAAGAATTCATTTGAGAGATAAAATTAAATTTAGAAGATTTGTTTAGAATTAGGGCTGCACCACTTTGCCAGTTGATTGTTATCAGCTCAGTGCAACTGTTCCTTCTTTTTTTTCTTTGTCTGTCTTTTTTTCTTTAAAACACACACACATACATATATATATATATGTATATATGTTGGGGCTGGGGTGTGGTACTGTATGGCCAGGTGTATGGTTTTCGGACCAACACCTACAGCTCCAAAACAAATGTGGGTCCTATTTCCCGACTGCCCTTGTTATCAAATAATAGGACAGCATTAATTTTGGTTGAAGTTGGTTTTTACTTAACAGAAGGGTTTAAATAACAATAGTCAGTCCCTTTTTTTTTTTAATATGTCGAACAAAAACAAGACAACAGTAGTGGACTTATTCTTCAAGATGCCGGAATTCCTGTTCAGGCTGGAGTAAATACCCCGAACTCGTAGACAGTGTTGTCTCCCCTGCCGTCATGGAGCTTTGTATTTCCCTGCGTTTTTCTCTTTTTCTCCTTCTCGGTCTCTGTTTCTCTTTTTTTCCCGCGGGAGACTCGCCTGTCACACAGTGATGACGTCACAACAGATGCGTCCTCATACAGCTGTGGGTGAGCACTGCATGTATACAACTATCATAGCCACACCCACTGGGCACCTACTAAACAACACCTTACTGCACCAGG